TACCTAGTACTGAGGAGAGATAAGGAGTCACAGGCAGAATGTAAATTAATATAAATGGGTAAATTTAAGTTATAAGAGCTAAGTAGTGCCGCATGCCTTTAATCCTAGCACTTGGGAGGCAGAGACAGGCAGGTCTCTGTGAGTTTGAGGCCAGCCTGGTCTACAGAGTGAGTTCCAGAACAGGCTCCACAGAGCTACAAAGAAATCCTGCCTTGAAAAACTAAAAAAAAAAAAAAAAAAAAAAGAGTTATTTGGAACCTGGTGGTGGTGGCGGCCCATGACTTTAATCCCAGCACATGGTAGGCAGAGGCAGGCAGATCTCTGTGAGTTTGAGGTCAGCCTGGTTTACAGAGCTAGTTCCAGGACAGCTAGGACTGTTACACAGAGAAACCCTGTCAAAAAAAAAAAAAAAGAGCTAGTTGGGAACAAGCCTACTCTAAAGCCAAGTTTTCATAATTAATAAAATAAAATGTCCCCGTGTCATTGTTCTGGAGCTGGCAGTCCAAAGAAAGACCAGCTATTGGCAGAGTTTGGGTCCTCATCACTGGAGTTAACCAGAGAAGTGGAATGCCTGTAAGTGAGACAGAGCAGAAGGATCTTAGGGCCAGCCAAGCTAGCAAAGTGGTGTGATCCACGTTCAGTGAGAGACCTTGCTTTAGACAAATAAAATGGAGAGAGATAGAAGACAAATTGGACATAAACCTCTGGCCTCCACATGAACCCACATGTACACACACACACACACACACACACACACACACACGGGAGGGGCGGGGGAGACCCAAACATCTGAGGTCGAGAAACTTGCCCAAGTCTCCAAACCTCCGCAGCAGAGTTTGGATTCCATGCCTCTTTCTTGATTATGTGTATCATCAGCTGTGTTTAGTGAAGGTCATCAGGGATGTGAGTGACCCGGTCTGGATTTGGGGCGTGTTCATGGCATGTAGGGATGTTCAATGGGTTACACGATAGGCGGTATGGTCCGAGGCCTCCTTGTTTGGATTGAGAGAAGACAAGCAGCTATTCATCAACTAACACTTCTGTGAAAATAAAATATTTCACCATGTATGGTGATACATGTCTTTAATCCTAGCACTCAGGAAGCCGAGGCAGGCAGATCTCTGTGAGTATGAGGACAGTCAGAGCTACACAGAGAAATACTGTCTTAAAAAACCAAAACAAAAAATAAAAAAATAAGGAGTGATAGATGAAGACACAAGTGTCAACCTCTAGTCTCCATAAGAATATGCACCCTCCCCCTACACACACCACACACACACACACACACATGAAATACAAGTTGAAGATGTATTACATTTGTTTATGCTGTAGAACATTTTTTTAAGATTTTATTCATTTATTATGTATACAGTGTTCTGCCTGCAGGCCAGAAGAGGGCACCAGATCTCATTACAGATGGTTGTGAGTCACCATGTGGGAATTGAACTCAGGACCTCTGGAAGAACAGCCAGTAGTCTTAACCTCTGAGCCATCTCTCCAGCCTGGAACATTTGTTTTATGATACAAAGATATGTTTCATTCTTTTATGTTGCATTTGTTTAACTATCAAAAAAATGTGTCCCTGACATTTATCACAAAAAAGAAACAATTGATAAAAATCTAGACGACAGGGTAAATGCTTTAGAAGAAGCAGTCTTATTTACAGGTAATCAAATTAAAAAATTAAATTAAAGTTAGATTGATTGTTTCCTGTCATTCACAATTTAAATGGATTTGTGGCACTCAGCTTCTGTACACTGCTTCTAAGGTAACCCGGACATAGGTTAGGCCCCACCTCCATGGCCTGTGGAACAATTCTGAATTAGCTATAAACATGCAGTCTTTGCATCAACAAATTACAGCCATTAGTTCAGCTCAATTGGAGTCCACCTCAGCTTCTGAGATTACAAATAGATTTTTTTAAATGTTGTTTTGTTGTTTTTTTGTTTTTCGAGACACAGCTTCTCTGTGTAGCTTTGGAGCCTGTCCTGGAACTCACTCTGTAGACCAGGCTGGCCTCGAACTCACAGAGACCCACCTGCCTCTGCCTCCCAAGTGCTGGGATTAAAGGCGTGCGCCACCACCACCCTGTAGATTCTTATAATCGCTCACTTACTTTGTCTCAGGACAGACCTTTTGGTCTTGCGTCGTTAATTTGGGAGCAATCCTGGGAGTTATGCTTGTTTTGATTCTTGACCTTCCAGTCATCTTCTGAGAACTGAAAGATGCCCTACATGCCACACAAGATCTACACACTCTTGAGTTAAGAAACAAAAAAGGGGGAGCTGGCACAGCCATATCTGACGGGAATGGCAAAAGTCATAAAGCCAGCACGGCTGCTTGACAAAATCCATCAAAGCTGAGCCGCATGACGGCCGCCCTGCCACTTTTGATCTCCGCCTGATTCATACTTGGAAGACTTTTAATATTTGTACAGTTTGGGGATATTGTATTGATGAAAATTTGCTTATGGATCATTTCTGACTTCTCCCAGGAGTAAAGTCCTGAACATACTACTCCTTCAGCTTTTAGGGAGATAGCCTTATCTACTTGAAGGTCTTCCTTAGTTAGGCCTTGGAGGTTGTGACACACATGAGGACAGAAGTCTCTTTACGAGACTATGAGACATTCTTGAAACATCTGTTCCTGCACTTACTCAGGAACAAGATAATCAAAACAAAGTAAACTTAAATAGGTCAACAGGATTTGGTGGGTTAGAGGAGTTAGCCACAGAGCAGATTAAAGGCCTCTTCCTACTATACACTCAGGCAGTTATATGGCATGCACAGTAACAAAGTCAGGTTAGCTGGAGTGACCTCCGCCCTACACAGAGACTTATACTGATGAGCAAAGAAAGAGGCAGAAAGAATGAGATGTCAGGCTCCCCCTTCTATGAGAAGTTAGCACATGCAGAGCCACTGTGACGTCTTATGACCAAAGATCAAAAGATGCCAGGAATAGACATATACAAAAATTCTATAAAGATATATTATGCCAGTGGGGGGGTGTCAATGGCAGTTTCAAAGAAAAAAGCACTAAATGCTAGGATGATGTGGTGTTAGTATTGAGGCATCTGTACTGGCCTGCTCTCAGAGTCCTGACAGGATCCATCCTCAACTGCGATCACTAAGAGCGCCTCCTGTACACATTTGCTAATTCTAATTCCCTTTTAAAAGGTGGGCCTTGCCCACCTCTCTCTCTCTGTCTCTCTCTCTCTCTGTTTCTCTCTCTCTCTCTGCCTGTCTCCCCCGCCCTCTGCCTCTCTCTTTTCTTCTGCCACTCCTGTCCCCAGAAGCCAATCTCCTCCCTCCCCCCTTTTCCCATTCCCTGTCCCCCAATTAAAAAAAAAAAACCCTATACATGCCTGGCAGTGGTGGCGCACGCCTTTAATCCCAGCACTCAGGAGGCAGAGACAGGCGGATCTCTGTGAGTTTAAGCCCAACCTGGTCTACAAGAGCTAGTTCCAGGATAGGCTCCAAAGCTACAGAGAAACCCTGTCTCGAAAAAAACCACAAACACACAAACACCTTCCACCACATGAGTTCTGTCGCATGGCATTTTTTTTTAAATTACAACACTCCATCTAAAGCATTTATTAAAGAATTTACCAACCAAGAAGGGCTGCAGCATCCCCAAAATGGACAGTGAGAGATGTTCCTCCTACGTAAGTCTATGTCACAGAGTTTGTATGAGAGTTGGAAGCTTAAGGGCTTCGGCTAGTCTCCTTCAGTGTTTTAACAACCTAAATACCTTTGTTAATGCACAGAATCATTCAAGGCCCTGGCTTGGGTTCAGGAAAAAAAAACCCAAAAACCTGACATCTGGTAAAGACAGACTATCAAGGCACTCTGAATTTCTTGGCCAAGACAAGAAAAAAGTGAGGACAGCTGGGGTGTCCTACAAGGAAAACCGCTTTAGAAAACCCCTTGCTGCAGCTGACTGTGGTGATGCATGGCTTTAATCCCAGGAAGCAGAGGCAAACAGATCTGTGTGAGCTCCAGCTGGGTCTACATAGTGAGTTCTGGACCAGCAGAGTATAGTAAAACCATCTCAAAATAGTAATCGTAATAAAATAGTAATAATAAACCTTGCTTCCCAATTTGGAGGCTGTTGCACATGACAATGTGATCTACCAAATACCACATTTTGTTTTGTTTTGTCTTTGAACCAAGGTCTCTCTATGTAGTCCTAGCTGTCCTGAAACTCTCTTTGTAGACCACAGTGGACTTGAACTCACAGAGATCCACCTGTCTTTGCTTCCTGGGTGCTAGGATTAAAGGTGTGCGCCATTAGCCTAGCTAGCTCTTTTTTTTTTTAAATTATTACCTGAACAACGGTGGCATACACCTTTAATCCCAGCAATTGGAAGGCAGAGGCAGGCAGATCTCTGTGAGGTCAAGGACAGCCTGGTCTACAGAGTGAGTTCCAGAACAACCAGGGCTACACAGAGAACCCCTGTCTCAAAAAACAAAACAAAAAAGAAAATTATTAAACAAGCTGGGCATGGTGGCTCACACCTGCAATCCTAGCACTTGGGAAGCAGAGGCAAAAGAAAATCATGAGTTCAAGGCTAGCCTGAGCTACATACACATTGAGTTCTGGGCCAGAATGGGCTACTAGAATGAGAGAACATGGGGAGAAAGAGAGGGAGGGAGAGTGGGAGGAGAATGAATTATTGAACAAGGGAATAAGATGGAGAGAAGGGAGAGTTGTTCTTCATGCTAACTCCCAACCTTGAACTTTATTCTCCCTCTGAAATCCATAGATAAATTCACAATCTTCCACAAACGTTCTGTCAGTCACACTCTTGAAGAAAGTCAAGGACTTGGATTTGAATGGCGGAAAATTGTTAGAAACTGAGGCTAGGGGAAAATGGAGCTGAATCTCTGGGATTGGGCAGCAGAACACTGATTAAGGCCCTGGTGTGGGTCATCCTTTTCCTGTATGTACCAGCCAAGCCTGAGGCGCTTAGGTCATCCTCTTGGCACAGAGTGCCCTAATGCCACAAAGAATTCTTCCTGTTTTGGTTCCTCCCTGTAAAATACTTCATTGCAATATTTACTAGGAGTAGGAGGACTGTTAGGAGGAAGGAAAGTGGGGAAGTGATTAGAGGTCACAGAGGAGGGGACTGGGTGACATCCCACGTTTACATAAATTCACAGGGGCTGTCAAAGAGAGCAAACAAGCGCCTGAAACTTGGAAACCAGAGAACACCGCTGTACAGGAAAGAACCTGAAGCCCTTTTCAGAGCCGGCCTGGGCCATCGAAACTCTCAGAATCTATCGACCATGGTGAGTCAGACTGTCTTGGGGTGGAACCGGGCCCACCACCTGAGGAACCCCAGGAGTCTCCCTGACCACTGCTGTCTCCTCAGGAGCGTCAGCTTGGCTTCTTGCTGTTTCTACTGACGCTGGCGCACGCCTTCCCTGACTCGCCAGAGCCCTGCGAGCTGGATGAGGACGGTGTTCGCTGCGCCTGCAACTTCTCAGATCCGGAGCCGAACTGGCAGAGCGCTTTTCTGTGTATCGGGGCGACAGACGTGAAGTTCTACGGCGGCGGCCGCAGCCTGGAGCATTTTCTAAAGCGTGTGAACACCGAAGCAAACCCGTCGAAGCAGATCACAGATGTGCTCAAGTCCCTGTCGTGGCAGCGGCTTACCTTGGGGAACGCACGGGTTCCTGCTCTGATGCTATTCGGAGTCCTGCGTTTGCTCGGGTTTACCAGCCTCAAGGAATTAACCCTTGAAAACCTCGAGGTAACCGGCACCGCGCTGCCGCCGCTCCTGGAAGCCTCCGGACCAAATCTCGACACCTTGCGCCTCAGCAACGTATCGTGGGCGACAGGGGATGCCTGGCTCGCAGAACTGCAGCAGTGGCTAAAGCCAGGACTCAAGGTACTGCATATTGCCCAAGCACACTCACTCAACTTTTCCTGCGAACAAGTCCGAGTCTTCCCCGCTCTTGTCACCTTAGACCTGTCCGATAACCCCGAATTGGGTGAGAAAGGACTGATCTCCGCTCTGTGTCGGAGCAAGTTCCCGGCCCTCAGAGTTTTAGCGCTGCGCAACGCAGGGATGGAGACGCCCAGCGGCGTGTGCTCCGCACTGGCTGCAGCAAGTTTACAGCTGGAACAACTGGACCTTAGTCACAATTCACTGCGGGATACTGAAGGCGCCCCCGGGTGTGACTGGCCTAGCAAGCTAAACTCGCTCAATCTGTCTTTCACTGAACTGAAGCAGGTACCTAAGGGACTGCCAGCCAAACTCAATGTACTTGATCTCAGTTACAACAGGCTGAATAGGCAACCTAGGCCCGATGAGCTGCCCAAGGTGGTTCACCTGTCACTTACAGGAAATCCCTTTTTAGACTCTGAATCCCACTCAGAGGGGTACAGCTCTGGTGTAGTCGTAGCCCCAGTGCGTTCATCCCTGGCAGTGGGTTTGTGGGCAACGTTGGCTGTTCTCCAAGGAGCCGGCCTTTTTGCCTAATGTCAAAGGGAGAAAAAAAGGAACATTTACATTGTCCTGGCTTCTGAGGGCCCTGGTCAGGTTGATCAGAACTTCTTGATCAACGAATCCTCTGTCTTACAGTTATTAAAATCTTAAACCACGTTGTAAGGGAAGAAAGACAGTCTAGATGGATCATTGGGTAAAGGTCATCAAACTTGACACTTGATTTTGATCCTCAGGATCCACATGGAAGGAAAGAACTCTGTCCTGAAAGTTGTCCATCTATCTGATTGTCACACACGTGCTGTGACACAGTTGTGTGTGTGTGTACACACGTGTTTATGTGTATGTGTGTGTGTGTATATATATACATACATACATACAAACATGCTCACAAAATAAATATTTTTAAAATAACTATCTGTTGGTTTTGTCTGATTGGTTGGAATTTTGTTGTTGTTTGTTTGTCTTTTGAGACAGCCTGGCTATGTAGCCCTCGCTGGCCTCATGAGTCCACATCATTCACTCCACAGGTCTTTACTGAGTATCCTCTTTTTCTTTTCTTTTCTTTTCTTTTCTTTTTTTGTTTTTGTTTTTGTTTTTTGAGCCAGGGTTTCTCTGTGTAACAGTCCTAGCTGTCCTGGAACTCGGTCTGTAGACCAGGTTGGCCTCAAACTCACAGAGCTCTGCCTGCCTCTGCCTCCCAAGTGCTGGGAGTAAAAGTGTACGCCATCACCCCAGAGAGTATCTGCTACACATCAGGCTCAATGCAAGAGCAGAAATTCGTTCTTAGACTTTCTCCACCTCCCTAGAAGTCCTACCTCCTCCCAAGAAAAGAACTGCAGGGTCGGAAAGAGCAGAAAAGTGTTTGTTGGGGAATATTATTTTCAGGTGTATAACCTTTATTTATGCTGCATTTGTTTAACTCTACGAAGCTGGGGGGTTGTTTGTTTGGGGGGTCTTTTTGGTTTATTTTGGTTTGTTTTTTTTTTGTTTTGTTTTGTTTTGGGTTTTTTGCCCATCTAAAACACTTGATGGTCCTAATAAAGAGCTGAACGGCCAGTAGCTAAGCAGGAGCAAAGGTAAGCGGGACTGGCAGGCAGAGTAAAATAGAAGGAGAAAATAAGGAAGAGGAGGAACAAGAAGACAAGACAAGGCGAGGAGGACTTCAGGGGCCAGCCACCCAGCCAGCCAAGGAGTCGGAGTGGAAGTAAGGTAGACAGAAGTAAGGAAAGGAAAAAGTCCAGAGGCAAAAGTTAGTCGGGGATAATTTAAGTCAAGAAAACCTGGCAAGAAACAAGCCAAGCTAAGACCAGGCATTCATAACTAAGAATAAGCCTCCGTGTGTGATTTATTTGGGAGATGGGTGGCAGGCCCCTCAAATAGTTGAAAGAGTAAAGCATCACACACGTGTTCTCAGGCCAGAGCTGTGGGAGACACTGAACACACAGTGAGGACTCTGAGCAGATCACAGGCACCAGGGTTAAAGGACAGTTGGATTAATGGTTGTGATTTCAATGAGATTGGCCCCCACAGGCTCATATGTTTGAATACTTGATTCCCAGTAGTGAAACTGTGCAAAGGATTGGAGGTTTGCCCTTGCTGGAGGGGGTAGGCTTTGAGGTTTCAAAAGCCTAAGCCATTCCCAGCTCTCTGCCTTGTGCTTTGAGATCAAGACAGGAGCCTCTGCCTGTTGGACCCTGGCAGCTGCCACGCTCCCTACCATGATAGTCACGGACTCTAACTGATCCTCTAAGTTAGTGGTTCTTAATCTTCCTAACGCTGTGACCCTGTAATACAGTTTCTCATGCTGTGATGACCCCAACTATAAAAACAGTTTCGTTGCTACTTCATAACTGTAAATTTGCTACTGTTATGAATTGTAATGTGATATCTGTGTTATCTGGTGGCCTTAGGTGAGTCCTGTGAAAGGCTTGTTTGATCCTCAACTTTCAAGAGCCAATAATAAAACTCCCAACCATTTTCTTGTAATCTCCCTTTCTCTCCCACACCCCAGAGGGGAGGAACAGAAATGCCTCCTGGACTCCATAAACCTTGGGTTTTGTAATTCCAGAGATCTTGTCCCTCGTATAAATGTCTCCGACTTTCCCCATCTCAAACCCACACCCGACGGGGGGGGGGGGGGGGGGACGGACTGGGCACCGGAAGCAGGTCAGGCAGTCTGTCCCCCAGCCGGTGCTCTGGTTACAAACATGAGGATGACCCTCCAAACTGATTTGTTGGTTTGCAGACAGGATGGCACCTCATCCCTTAGAGATATTTAACATCAGAGAATTGATCATCTCAAGACAGTTTCTTCCATTTGAACAGTTTGATAACACTCCATCAGTATACGAAAATGAAACATAAACATACTATACTTTCACATAATTCCTAATCCAGTTAGATCGGCGGACATAAAAGATAGTTGTAGTTCAGGAGAGGGAAGAATTGACCCTACCTTGGAAGGAATTACAGAAAATGAAACACTGACTCTGATTCTTTCTTTCTTTCATTTTTTTTCTTTTTCTTTTTTTTTTTTACTTTTTTGGGTTTTTTTTTGTTTTGTTTTGTTTTGTTTTTGAGACAGGGTTTCTCTGTAGCTTTGGTGCCTGTCCTGGTACTAGCTCTTGTACACCAGGCTGGTCTTGAACTCACAGAGATCTGCCTGCTCTGCCTCCCAAGTGCTGGGATTAAAGGTGTGCGCCACCGCCGCCCAGCTGACTCTGATTCTTACAGCATAACTCTCACTTCTCCAGAAAGCACATCCCACATAGAAACGGCCGCCATGTTCCAGGCTCAGAACCTAAGAGTAGATGAGCAAAATTGCTTCTGCTGGCTAGAGAGAGCAACAGATCATTGCGATGGCCTGCGAGTACTTTCTCTTTAAGTCCCCATTCCGTCGCCCTGCACCAAACCCTGGGAACTCAACAGGAATAAAGCAGAAGTTCCTTCTTTCACGGAGTTGGGTTCTGGTTGGACAGAGGGTGCTGTAGCTAAACAGCTGTGTCCCTTCCAAATGCATATGTTCCAGAGCAGGGGACACAGTTTAGTTGGCAGACTGGTTGGCTGGCACTCACAAAGCCCCGAGTTCAATAACTAGTGCCGCATAAATGCTAGAATCTCAACATTCAGAGGTGGAGGCAAAAGGAGAAGACATTCAAAGTTGCCAGTAGTGTAACATACACACACCTTTGATCCCAGCAGAGGCAGGTGGATCACTGTGAATTTGGGGCCAGCCTGGTCTACAGAGAGAGTTCCAGGACAGCCAAGGCTGCACAGAGAAACCTTGTCTCAAAAAACAAAAAGCAAAAAAGTTCAATGTTATTCTTAGTTACAAGGTAAGCCTGGGGCTAGCCTAGAATACATGAGATCATGGTAGGGTTTTATACATTTTATTTATTTGCTTATTTATCTGTTTGCTTATTCTATGTGCATTGGTGTTTTCCCTGCGTGTTTGTCTATGTGAAGGTCTCAGACCTTGGAGTTACAGACAGTTGTGAACTGCGATGTAGGTGCTGAGAACTGAACCCAGGTCCTCTGGAAAAGCGGGCAAACACCACTGCACAGAAAATCAAAATAAAAAATTATTTTTTAAAAAGAAAGAAACATTATTTAGTGTGTCTATCTTTGTGTATATGCTATTTGTGTGCCATACAAATGGAAGCCAGAAAAGAGTATAGAACCTCATGGAGTTGGAATTACAAGAGGTTGTAAGCCATCCAACATAGGAGCTTGGAATCAAACTTGGGTCCTTTGGAAGAACAGCAAGTGTTCTTAACCACTGAGCCATCTCTCCAGTTCCATTCAGGGTTATTATAGAGTAATGACAGAAACTGGACATAGCTGAAGAAATCTCTGTTAAGACTGGTTAATTTCCGGCCTGGAAAGATGGCTCAGAGGTTAATAGTACTGGCTGTTCTTACAGAGGTCCTGAGTTCAATTCCTAGCAACCACAAGGTAGCTCATAACCATCTATAATGAGATTTGGTGCACTCTTCTGGTGTGGTGTGCAGGCATACATGTAGGCAGAATGAATGAATGAATAAATAAATAATCTTTAAAAAAAAGAGTCATTAATTTCTGTGATATCATAGGTCAAGCCAATGAGGAGCCCACACTATGTTTGTCCCGCTGGCCCAACCAGGAAAATGGTTATGTGGCTCTGCCCACCCAGTTAGGGGTGTTTGAAGCCTCTCTGTTCCTCTCCAGCTCAAGCTTTGGCTGAGTTGCCATCTGTCAGTCATGTAGCCAACCCTGCAGTTATCTCAGCTGCTGGTAGTTACACTAAGCTGTCTTTGTTCTCACATTTACAGGCTCAGCTTGTAGTTTTACGATGGCAGGGAGCTAACATCTTCCAAGGGATGTGGCTGTAGTCTTTCTTGGTTATTTCATGTGTATGTAGCGCCTTAGCTATGGAGTGGACTCCTAAGTGGAAGCTTCCTAAGAGATCTTCCCTTACAATTTAGTCTGTTACAATTAGCTCTATTAGAAGCAAGAATGTATAAAAGGGCAATAGTGTCTGTCGAAAGCTTCAGAGTGAGGTTAAGGGATGTGGGAGGAGAACAAACTACCCCAGGTCCTTGTCTTCTTTTTTGTTGGTGTTTGTTTTTTGAGACAGGGTTCTCTGTGTACCCTTGACTGTCCTGAAACTCACTTTGTAGACCAGACTAGCCTTGAACTCACAGAAATTCTCCTGCCCCTGACTCCCACATGATGAAATCAAAGGCGGTCAGCGCCACCGCCCGACTGATCCTTGTCCTTTTTATCCTTCTAGTTTGACTATTATACACCCAGTGACAAGCTCTCTTGTTCATCTCTATTAGACTCTAAACTCTGTTTTAACCCTTAATCTTCCTTTCAATTCCAGCATCTGTTCTCACTATAAGGCATGTGAGCCATTTGCAGCGTTCCCCATGCAGGATTCCCCCGCAGCCTACAGAGAGCTGACTGATGGGAGCCCCCCCCCATCAGTGGGGACAAAAAGTGGTCAAGCAACTGTGATAAACAACATAGCTCAATGAAACTAGGAGCCTCCCTCATTCAGCTCTGAATACCCAGGCCCTGAAAGTGATACCTATCTGAATCCCTGCGTCTATGTGGATCCCAGCAAGTGCTCCACCAATCTTTACTGGAAGGCT